CAGCGTGGGCACCAGACGAATCTCAGTCGGGAGGGCATTCCATAGTCTGGGGGCAGCTGCCGAAAAGGCCCTTTGTCTACCAGCCATCCCTCTTACCTCCTTGAGGGACGGCTCTTTCAAAAGGGCCCCCTGGCTAGATCTTAACTGCCGGGTAGGCTCATACGGAAGGACGCAGTCCTTCCTTTATCACCGCTGTTCTTTTTTCATTATTTTTACAATCTTGCCTCTAAAGAGGTAAAAACACCATTAGTGATTTTATTTTTATTTTGTCTGGTGTTATATTTATTGTAAACCACACAGAATACTGCCTCAGCACCAATGGAAGCAGTATACAACTTAAACAGACAGGCAGACAGGGCCTTAGATACTAACTTGTTGATATATGAAGCTATTTGGCATTATCCCCTCGTACAAATAAAATATATCTAGTTACCAATTCGAATAGTAGCTTTTCCTTTCTTGCCATTTCCCAAAACCACTGTTCTTCTTTTCAGTTTGTTTTTAACATTTTTACATTTTTTGAGGAAGGAGACGGGTGCCACTTTAACTCCACGTTTGTTCTTATGCTTATTTTTCCATTTATTTTGCCTCAAACAATTAGCTCTAATGATCTATACTTTTCATTTCTTATAATGTGGCCAAAGAATTTTAACTTTCTGCATCTTATGTTTGTTACGATGTCTTCATGTTTATTCCTTTGCCTTAGTACCTCTTTGCTGGCTATCCTCTATATACCACTAATGTCATGTAATATGACCGTACAAAGTAATCCATTTTATGTGCTTCTTTTATGGTGACGGGTAGGCAGGTATGGCTGAGGACCTAGATACCCAAAGGAATATTTCTTTCCCACATATATTAGGGACCACCCTTCTCTGTACCTTCCCACGACTAACCAAGCAAGAAGAGCGTTTCTTCAGTGACTGTGTCCAGGACAAGCTTTGGGATTCTGAAAACTGCGTTAACATCCTTCATTTTGGTTTAGTGAGGTGACTAACTTGTACATCTTTAAATTAGGTAGAATGATAAGGATCTGTTATCCAAAAGGTGCTGGAGTTTCTTCATAAGGCAGGTCAGCGTTTTCCCTGTTCAAGTTACTTCATACTACTGGCTAGGATACTCTGGGTGTTTGTGTGAGGTCTGCAGGTTGTGCTGTGGCTAATGGCCACTAACTGACAAGATCCGGATCTTGGTCACGTGCCTGTTCACGGACTCAGCTGTAGAAATGAAACATGCTGCCAAGAGCCATGGCAATTTATGCAAATGTCTGGCACTATAAGGTAAAACAAAACAAAACACTGCAGGTTTCATAAAGTGATCTCATGTAGCAGAAACCCAACAGAACTGACCATAGGCTATTAATACATACTGTGTACTGTGTTCAAATTTGTGAATGTCTCATAGCTTGGCTGTTTCTCACAGCTATAGTTCTATCCTGACTTTCCACCACTCAGTTCAAAATGACTTAAATTACTCTACTACTTTTTTTCCTCATGACAACCCCACAAAGGAGTTTACTCACACCAGGGCACACACGGAGCCTCATGGCCAAATGGAGAAAAAAACCAGATCTTCCAAGTTATCGTCTGCTTCTCTAATCAATAGAACATACTGACAACAGATTTTATCACACTATCTATTCCCAGGATGTTTATGCTAACATTGTTGTCATTGCTAACCATCTTTCATTTAAATCTACTCTTATCTCATTGTTTATATGCCGCACTAAGCCTTACTTACTATATAGATCTCTGAAGCCCCAGGACTCCACTCTGCAGACATAAAGAAGTAGACTGTTTGTGTCCATGAAAAGCCAATACATTACAATAATAATATTAGTCTTAAACATGCCATGCAAACATGTTTTATTATTTTTGGATGATGTTCACTATTTTGGACGTCTTGTTAGGAATGGACAGGCTATCTATCTATCTATCTATCTATCTATCTATCTATCTATCTATCTATCTATCTATCTATCTATCTATCTATCTATCTATCTATCTATCTATCTATCTATCTATCTATCTACAAAAACATACAATTGGCTTTGAAAATGTACCTTGTACAGTGCTATGTACTCTCATTTCTATTGTACAGCATGGAATCATATGGGACTTTATCGCAGGCTCCTATAAAACAACAGAAGTATAGGATTCTAAGAACTTCTTGAACCGAGAATGTTACAAACAAAGTACTGTAGAGCTAAAGCAAGTGAACAAAGACCAATAAATTATAAAACACAGAAAATGTAGGCTGGAAAACCTTATTAAGGCATTGAGGGGGAAAATGCACATCATCATCCTGATTCTTCAGGATACCATAAATGGGTAATGAAGTGCGGAAGGGAGACCATCATATTGGTTGAAGATCCTTGGAGACTGGAGCTCCACGTTACTGTCTGGAGCCTGTTGGATCCAAAACTGAAACAGCTGGTGACAAACATCTGGCAAGGAGTAGGAGAGAAAGAGATGATGGATGACCCAGATGACAATGACTGAAAGTCTTCCTGGGAAGGGCATACCAATTTAAAGGTTAGTATTGTTTGCTTCTTAACATTGGATTTTGATTCGGAAATTGGCGGGCACTGCCAATAGGTGTCATTTTCTGGAAGAATGGTGGTTATAAACCTAATAAATACATTTGCAAAATGAAAACCTCTGAGAATTGTCTGTCATAACATATGCAGGGCCGTGGTGGAATCCTGTCAGTAAAGCAGCTCACCACAGCACAATCCTCCTGACAATTCAGCTCCTTGGGTACAACATTCACATTTAGACAAAAGGGGGTGGGGATGGGATGAGGAAGGCAAGGTAACTTTAGAAAACATCACAAAACAGGAGTTGCTATGAAATGTCCATGTGCCACCAAAGCCTACAACGGACGACCAGCACTTGCAATATAAACAACATGTTTTCAATAGTCTCCAAGATGAAAATCTTTCATGATGCTAATTCAGTTTAATGTTTCCCTTTCCATCATCACCATCGTGAGGGTGCTTCTTTCTTCAGATGCAGGTCAGGCTCCATCCACCGGCCACTCAGTTTGGCGGTGGAAGTGACCTCCAATAGTCTCCAAGATGAAAATCTTTCATGATGCTAATTCAGTTTAATGTTTCCCTTTCCATCATCACCATCGCGAGGGTGCTTCTTTCTTCAGATGCAGGTCAGGCTCCATCCACCGGCCACTCAGCTTGGCTGTTGAAGTGACTTCCTCCTGTACCACCCTCTCCTCCAGTGCATCTGCCCTCCACTTATGCATGATTTTTGCTCCCTTGGTCTTATGCAAGGCTTGACTACCTCTGACAGGAAGGTCTGCCAAAACTTTAGATGCTTTTCTTTTAAAATTCAAATGAAGATGCCACAACTTTCCCAGGCAGTTCCCCATAGTTTTGCATAATCACAAAGGCTGGGCTACAGTGTATCTCTAGTGTTGCTACGACATCCACCCAGTGGAAAGTTATTGTGCAACTCTTATGAAAACAAGCAAGAGCAATTATGTTCTTGCCAAGCTCCTTTTAATTTCAGTTTTGTCTTGTTCTGCTTTATTGTCGTATATGTGAAACTGTAATATTTAAGCATTACAGATACACTCAGTATATCTGTCCATCACCCCCCCTCCTGTTGGTGCAATGTGCAATTTATTGGAACAAGTAAAATAACAGAGACAACTGACCATGTCCCACAGAAAGTGCAGAGGTGGGTGAAAGTGAGAAGATGAGATGGGTCTACTCTGACCAAGCAGTCATCTTGTCCTTGGAGAGGGGGGCTGTTGGGCCTCACTCCCCTCTAGCAATTCCCCCTCCCCCTCACAGGCCTCAGTCCACCAAAATACCACCCCAGGAATGATGAGATGTCGCTGAAACAACAGCAGGACTAGGAGTTGGCTACTGCCATCCTTCCTTTTCCCTGGAAAATACCCTGATGTTGGGAAAGTGTGACGGCAAGAGGAGAAGGGGACGGCAGAGGACAAGATGGATGGGGAGTGCCATCGAAGCTACTAACATGAATTTGACCCAACTCCGGGAGACAGTGGAAGACAGGAGGGCCTGGCGTGCTCTGGTCCATGGGGTCATGAAGAGTCAGACACAAGGACTAAATAACAACAATCCCTCCTTTGCACACTTGAGGGGGCAGCCCAGCCAGTTGCTCTAGGTCTCCTAGGGAAGGAGGGAGGATGAGTGGAGGAAATGAAGCTACCTCCCTCCTTCATACTCTCCCTCTGGATTTCAGGGTGTGCCCCTGCACGAGAGGGCAAAGGGACCTGTGGAAATAGATGCAGGATTTTTTGCTTTAGCCACTTCTTGCCCTCTCCTTTTGTGCCAACGGGGGAGCCCACTTCAAGCCAGCTGCCCTGTGCCATCCGAACAAGATGGAATTAACAGGTACTATAGCTCATTAGGTATCAGGCTGCAAAGCCCGAGGTCTGCGAGTTCAATTCCCCATTGTGCCCCGGCAGGAGGAAAGCCAGCCTGTGTGGCCTTGGGCAAGCTGCACAGTCCCAGAGTGCTTCCAGAGGAAGGGGATGGGAAACCACTTCTGAGTTGAGTACTCTATTATCTAGAAAACCCTGAAAAGGGTCCCCCTAAGTCAGAATTGAGTTGACAGCACAATGACGACGATGATAGCAGCACCAGGGCCCCTTGCCCCCTCTGGCGGCCCAGAAAAGTTTATTGCCCATCCGGCGTCCAGGACAGACCGGCCCTCCTCACACCCCCGAGCGCCCGGTGACGCCTGGCCGGGCCTCCGGGGCCAGTCCGTCCGTCCGTCCGTCCTCCTCCGGCAGCAGGCCAGGCCAGCGCGCTCCCGCCCCACCTTCTCCCTGCCCTGCCCTGACCTTCCCTTCCCTTCGCCGTGGCCGTCGCCGCTGCCTGG